ACACAGAGGGGTCACAGGTGCATTTTTCCGATTCAGTGTGTCCTGTTTACCTAATAATTAATGTTTGAGAGGGTTTGGAACATCATTCGTCCAAAAGAGGCGCATTTCAATTTTTTCCCATTGACTTATAATGGAGAGATCGCAAAATTGACCTGACCTTAGGTCACCGATATCAAAATTCCGAGATAAACGTTTTGTACATACTGTTCTTCTCATCAATCGCTGAAAGTTTCAAGGCGATCGTTCAGTCGGTGTAGCTATGACGAGGATTGAAACTTTTTCTGAGGTGAGGTCACTTGACCTGACCTGGTGAACTGACCTTGAGAGCCCTGGGTCTGAACATATGTGGAAAGGATGCATGAACAGGTGTGCCAAAAACGGTGGCGCTCCGCGCCGCCTTTTTTAGATATCTGCGAAAAACCGCAGGGCGGGTGTTCAAAACCTCCCCTCGGCCCGACGCGGGTTAACACTCCGCAGTGTGCACTTAAATGTTAAGATTCCGAGTATAATACCCCAGTTTGCGCACGGAGTTAAGGACGGTTCGTTTAATCGACGTGTCAATCTTTACGCGTTGAGTAGTTTATCAGAATATTATATCGCTACTGATGGAAATCATCTATGCTGTTTTTGTTGATAGAAAGTTGGCTCAGTCGCGTTTCCGCCGGACACTTTCCGCTGGACAAGTACAGTTATTGCATAAGTTCTGGGTATGTTAGTTGCGTTAACGGTCTCTTTCAGACGCGTTTGTGATGGGCCCATGTTTGCTGGGAATGGGGCGATTCTCCCAAATCCTGATTGGATGGATTTCTGGTAGGGCTATTCCAGCTGGAGCATTCTGCTGCTTTATGGCATCCGTTTGATGTCAGCGAGAAACTCGGAGCGTTACGTCGTGCCATGGGCAAAATGTTCTCCAATTCATAACTTTCCGTTTGGACAAAAATTGCCCGGTTCAGCAGTACCCTGCATACTATATTAATTTGGCAATAAAGCCTTATCTTTTCGAGTATAACTGGCTTTTGTTGCTAATTGTTGCTAATTTAAATGCTAATTGAGAGCAACAATTTTTCTTCCTTCTTTTGGCAATGAAGATTGCTTGCAGAAATTGTCACTTGCGGTCTGTATCTGTAATCTACTTTTTTCTCGGTTTCTCGGTCTTGATGTTCATAATCACAAGGTTTTCTCATAAATTTGCTCTGGTGGCGTACTTCCCCTTATATCATGGACTTTTTTCCTTTTGTCTCCTCCACGTAAAGGCCACGGAGCGCAAAATTGATTTAGTTTGGCGGGGCGTAGAGTCATAACTCGAATCAGGAGAGGTGGTAGGCGCCAGTCCGGAGCCACTACAAGGGTCGAGACGGCAGCCAATTTTACCAGGTCGCCCACAATGGGACATAAAGCATCTTCTGTGGCATCTCGCCGATGGAATCCGCCCCCTAGAGGAGCGCTGCGTGTCCCTCCGAGACGGTACCTTTCACCGGCCCCTCATCTCGGCCGCCTCCGCCCTCTACCCTCCTCCCTCCCCTCTCGCCGGGGGCGCACATCTCCCGGCCGACGGCGACAGCGGCCGGCGCATTTTTCTGTATTTCAGGTATTCATTACCATGAAAGATTGGGTAGTGCGCGCTGCCGGCATATTTGGCGGAGCGGCGGCGCCACTGGAGGACCGGGGAGGACGGGGAGGGAGGACGCCATCGGAGGACCGGCGGGGACGTTCAGTGGGGAGGGTGCCCGCTCGGGGAGGCGGCCGGTCCGGCGCCCCGCTGAGAGCCCTCTCCAACTCCGCGGCCCACTTTGACTCGCCGGGCCATAATAAACAGACTCACTCGTTAATGTGTATCGCAGAAAATTGGTCGGCGCACAAAGGCAGGCGGCGAAAACAGGTATCTCGGCGCGCTGTCAGCAGAGGCTGCTGCTGCTGCGGCCCCGACCGAGAGCCTGACTTGGTGATGAGTCGGGACGGTGAGACTCACACACCAGAGGGACCCAGAGGCCGGCGGGAGGCCGGCTTACGAGCGATCCAGCGCGGACACAAGAAACGAGAAAGTGATCGTCAACTCGGGCTGCTCGATCGGGCAACTTGTGTTCCGTCTTAGAAGTGCATGTTGAAATTAATTCACTTCAACCGTTGTAGAAACCACTTGCTCATGCAACCATTCAGAGTGAGCAATTTGTACTAATTTAGCGATACTTATTTACATCACAGTCGCTGCTCATATCGATGACAAAAAGAGCAATATCGACGGATCTTTGCAAAGTCTATTTACTTTGTAAGTTTATTTTTTTCTGCTAATTTTGTGGACCTATATTTCATTGTCTAATCTTAATTCCGTAATCTTGAAGTAGAAAGCAGAGTCGGCAAGGACAGTGCACCGGTGCTGAGCCGTGCTACGGAGGCGTATCGGCGTTGTTCCAGTGTCGGAGCTCATCTGATGCCCCCGATACCGTGTCTGTGAGCGGTGGTGACACGTTTTCCTGCCGTGGACGGACCGGTTCGGCAGTCGGCCCAGCACCGTGTGTTCGGACCCCACAAACGGAATGTCCGAGCCGTCCGAAACTGCAGAGAGTCATCAGCTATCGCGCTGGCGGCACCGCCGACCAGGCACAGGTGCGGTCACTGACGAACTGATTACAAGATCCGGCTATTCATTTCGTTACTTCAAAAGCTACGGCCTATACGGACTCTTATCAACTTGGGTCGTATCGTCACCCTGCTCTTTAGATTAAGCGGGTGTGCGCCAGATTAGGTTATTTGGGATGCCACTTTCGAGTCTCTCACCGTCATGACGTCTGTCACCAGCGGCTGTCACCACTGGATGTCACCACTGGCTGTCACCACTGGCTGTCATTACTGACTGTCACCACTGACTGTCACCTGTAACTGTCATCTGTGGGTGTCCCTAGTGGGTGTCACGGCGCTGAGACGCTGATCTAAGCTGCACTGCTGACATCAGCCTCGGAGATGGAATGGCGCTGATAGCTCCGTTCGCTCCAGTTCTTTTCTCAGTGCGACGTTTGGTGAGGCGATCACGCACGGTGCCTTGCACGGTGCACTCGTACACGCCACGGTCTGATGGGTGTGCTCTGCAGTTAATGTTTGAGATAACGGGACCTGTCAAATCAAATTTATTTCAGTGCGCTTGTTTCGGAGTTGAAACAGATCCCTTGGGTCCTTGTAAGCAGTCGGTAGTCCGTAGCTAGTCGCTAACCAGTGAACGGCAGTTTTACAACGTCAAGCACTTACGGTCATTTACATACATTTTTATTATTGCCAGAGATATGCTCATGCTCGGTACTGGATGGACTATCGTTTCTATCTAACCACCTTCGGTACTATTTTCAGTCTTTGGCCGATAGTTCACCATAGCCGTTTTCACGACGGCCATCTGGTACACATTTGGTGCACATCTGGTACAGATTAGGTGCAGATTTGGTCAAATCAGGTTCAGTGTGTCTCTTAGCAGCTATCAGCTAGGGTTGCACTAATTGCTTATATGCCTGCTTTGTCATATTATCAGAGAGCATCATCGATTAAAACACTGAAATAAATTCATAAAATGAAGATATTTGCTGTAAAAGAAATGAGGTGCAGATTTGGTCAAATCAGGTGCATTCGCCGGATAGCCCGTCGTGAAAACGGCTCATATCACTTACGGACAGGACATACCGGAGTGGACAGGACACTGGTGGGGGGGGGGGGGGGGGGGTCCGAGTAGCTCCGGGGAGGGGAGGGGGAGGCTCGAGTAGCTCCTGGGCGGGGTGTGGGAGGGGAGGGGCCGTATCCGGCCGGTCGTATCGAGCGTGCACACACGCCCCGTCGACCCATCATCTCTGAATGGGCCATCGTCGGCACCGACAGTGTCGGCCGTCGCTCAGCCGGCGGGGCGAGTCAACAGGCCGGCCAGCCGGCGCCTCCGTGCTGGCAGCGCAAACACCCGCCGGCGGCGACTGGATATTTCGGGTACGACGCACAGCGTATAGCACGGCGCACAGTGTGTGGTCCGGCGCACGGTGTATTTTGGGCACGGCCTACAATGTGTTTTGGGCACGGCGCACAATGTATTCTAGGCTCAGCGCACAGTGTATTGCACGGCGGGCAATGTATTGCTCAGCGTACAGTGTATTACAATACGCTCAGCGTATTGCGGGCACGGCGCACATTGTATTGCACTGCACGGTGTATTGCACGGCGCACCCGGAGCTGCGGTATGGCGCCGAGTTCAGGAGCTGCGAACCGCGGAGACGCCAGGGAAGGATGAAACACAGAACCTCGGCGCTGAGAACTGTCCGGGAATAACGCTAGGCTATGTTGGATGAAATGTGGACAGCACGACAGCCCGTTTAGCGTGCATTGCCAGGCGGTTATTCAGAGTTCCTCATACACTCTGACTGGTATGTCAGAGTGTCATGTTCTCATGATATAACATGCTCAATTTGTGTGCTTCAAGCTCGATTAACAAGCCTTTCCCAGTGCGGCGTGTTCAGAATACACAAACGCCTGTATTCCGGGCCGGAAGCGGCAACCGTCGTCACTCTGAAACTGTTATTAACGGTCAGCTCTGTCCGGAGTGTACACTTATTTACCAATATCACCACTCTCCCAGGCTGTTGACGCTGAATACGAACGGGCGGTGACACGCGAGTTGTTACCGCGTGCAGGTCTGCCGGCCATGCCCAATGGACTCATCTGCTTACTGTGAGACTGCTGACGGTCCGCGCGATGACACAGCGTGAAGGGACTGTGACGGATTCCGTCGGCCCAGCACCCGGTGTGGCGGTGATGTCTATCGCTTTGACGTTCGGTGGTGTTTGCTACCTGATTCACGCCTGCACCTGTGTACGATTATAGATGCTTTATTTATTTTTTATGGCAAACCCTGCTTCCGTAGATAAGAAGTGTGGGAAATTTGTTTTGTGTGTTTGAATCTTTGTTATGCTTGCATTTTACCGAATCATGTTGAAAGGTACGGCGGATGGTGGATTTGATAAATTCCAAACACGACAGTTATCTTTCATTTTTATCTTAACTAAGTCTCCACATTTCACTTCCATTTGCAATAAATAATAAACAGTTACACTCAAACATTCGTCCATTGCAGTCGCGCCAAACAAAACAGCAAATCACACGCTCCTAATACGAATACAATATCACAAATATATACAACAATAACTGGTTTCAGCGGTAATGTTATAGCTGACCCGGCAGCATTTACCAACCTGATTAAATGGTCAACAGAGACAATGTCGATCGTATTTCGGCAAACGTCGAAAACAACAGCCGAACGATCGCATGCACGCCCGACAGGAGAAACGATGGCCGTTTTCCCATGTCCCAGCTGTGCAAACAATGTCAACCTTGCACCGATAAAACATACCTATTAATGCGCCATTACATTTGGCTTAGTCAGCTTCTTTCCCTCTGTCAACAATACTAAAGTGTACGGTGCTGTGCAGTTTCTTCGCGGTAAGGTGCAACCGCTAGTACGTAACAAATCAACAACGTGACAATGTCAGCCCTATCTGAGTTACAAGCGCAGGTAGGGCCAAGTATCTCACGGATGCTAGCTTTCAAGACGCGACTGGGAACGCAGCGCCATGTGATGCCGTGCTGATCTAGTGCCTACGAGATATTCGGATCGAAACAGAGTGCAGTGCAGTACATCCGACATAGACGAATCATTTGGGTCTTACCCAAGCATTGATTTAGTTTCTACCAACCCTGTTTTGGGCTCTCCGCGGCAAAACAAAACTTATCCTTTCACAGGTCATAACGTGGCATCACGCGCTTCATCACGACAGACTGTGTTTCGCAATTCGCCCGCAAGGTAGCACTGCTAACCGCGTATAGATGTCGCGCACGTCGCCGCTCGCTGCGAGGCGGCGCCACCGTCGGCGCCTACTTCCTGGAGTGGCGCGCCGATCGGCTGTCGCGCTCCTCCTTATGGTGCCGGTGGTGATGGTGGTGGTGGCGCCGCTTATCGTCGCCGCCGCGGTACATGTGCGCCACATCAGCCACGGTCAGCTCACTGGCGTCGCGGTACATTTCCGAGCGCATGGTGGGCTCTCCGCGCGACTTGGAGCCGCCCTCCTTTGCCGCGTTGTGGCGGCCACTCGACTGCAGGTTCTCCCACGCGCGCTTGTAGTACTTGTTGAGGCCGTGCGTCTCGGACTCCGTCGAGTAGCTGCTTGAGTTAGCGTTAGCGTGCGCGCGACGCGGAGGGTAACCGCGGTTCCTGCGAAACGTCAGGCGCGCGTGAGCGTCACGTGTGAGGCGGCACGTGTCAGACGCGGTCGTCGGCACGTGGTGGTGCCTCGTGGCCGCCACGTGGCAGAGCCTGCGCGCTACAGCTCGCGCGACCTGCAAGCCAGAGAGTTAAGCGGTGTTAGTGCGTCCTTCGTCCGTCAGGGTGCTAGTGCTAGTCATGCGCTACGAGACACAAACATGGGGTGGGGCGGGAGGGTCCCTTCAGCATGGATTGCAGAGGGCAGCACTGACCATCCGGCAGAGGACAGGCTGGTGGTGAGGCTGTGGGTACGGGAGTGGGGTGCTAAGTGCAGCTACAGTCCACTGTCCACACCGACACAGGAAAGCACCAGCTGGGAAGCAGTTGACAGCAAAGCACAGAGCACAGAAGAAGCCAAGCACCAATGTGTGTCACGTCTCCTACATGCTCGCTTTGTTCCCTGGGGTCGGGAAAGTTTTCTGAGGTCGATTTAAGGACGACAGGACAGCGCCACGCCTGTGAGAAATTCACTACAAAATCGAAAATACCCTGAAGTCCGACGGGGACATTTTTGTTACACTATGACAATTGTATCATAAGGAATGAAGTATCAAAACACAGAAATCATTGGCTGCCCTTTGAGAGGTGATATAGCTGTCCAGTGTCAACCTGCCATGTCACTAACATTTTGTAATCATTTTATGAACAATGAAACATTATTGATTACAACGGTGAATCTGTTTCCTTTTGTGCATTAACATGCAAGAAGCGTGAACGCTAACGATAAGCGTCAAGTAGTGCAGTGCGAGGGACTGGTCGATCAGGGGGTGTGTTTCGTGTGGCCGGAGTGGAGAAAGAACATCTGATTCGCGCCCATCGCCGTGTGGCGCCCTCTGTGCAGCTCGTGTCAGTGACGGTGGTGGCCTGTAGACGCTTGCCAGATTCTCCCGTGCCTTCAGCTCGTCTCTTATCTACAGGTGAGGTGATTCTCCGCTCACCCTTCCACTTGTGGGGCTTTGTGTTGTTATGACAAAGTGCTCAGTGCGGGACAAACTTAGCGCCGGAGTCTGCCTAAGATGCCGATTTTATATACAGCTCGGTGAGTGACTGGTGCAGATCGACGGATGTTTTTTGTGTCTTAACATCTCATCCACTCTCCATCGTGCTCCTCCAAGTGCAACGCGCCTTTCCGAGGTGTATGCCGTGCTCCAGGTGATAAGCCGCGCTTTTCCGTTCGTCCCAGTGCGTCCGTCTGTGTCCATCCGTCCGTGAGTCGTCTGTCCGCGAACGTACCGGCGTCTCCGTCTCAGCGGCACGCTCGGCCCTCTCCAAACAGCGTCCCCCTAATGGAGGTAGGGGTCCCGCGAGCGGCGCGTGAAGTCGGCCGACGGGTGGCGCCGCCCCGCGGTGCGGAGGTGGCGCCGCCCGGTGGTCTGATCGGCAAACGGCAGCGCCAGTACGGTGTACCAGCGCTGCGGCGTGGTCGGAGAGTCGGGCGGCGAGGGCAGTCCGGCGTCCGAGGCCACCATCACGGCGTCACTGGGGCTGGTGGCCGGTCACCGTCGGCGGTCAGAGGTCAGTGGTCGACCGGGGTCGGTCAGTAGTCGACCGGGGTCGGTCAGTGGTCGGCCGGGGTCGGTCAGTGGTCGGCCAGGGGTGGTCACCAGGTCGGCCAGGGATCGGTCAAAGATCGGCCGGGGCCGGGGGGGGGGGGGGTTGATGAGGGGTCCGCCAGGAAGTTGAAGGCTAGCGGCTGGACTTTGAGCGAGGCAAAAGGCTGGCGGGTTCACGCAGTCAAGATGGGGAGCGTCAAGTTTATACGTGTGGGCTCTTAGGATTTCATGGCATAAAATAGAAAATTTGAGGAAAAGCTAGACTTTTAGGAACTTTAGGTTCGGCCACGGAGCAAGCACTACGTGCTGTATGGTGATGCAGGTAAAAGTGGACATTCTGCCAACTTACTTTCTTGTCATCAGTGTGATGTGGATTATACTAGTTTTGTGATGCGACTAATGCGTGAGCTAGCTTGAAGCGTCCTTTTATGCATGTCATTTCTGTCCGGCAGTTTCGAATTGTTATGAGCTTATGATCAGTTTTCTGGGATGAGCAAAACGTTTAAAGAGCGACTACCATTTAGTTTTAAACATGTAAGTCACTTTGTTAAGGTAATACAATTTTAGAATCAGCGAATGTTTAGATTAGTCAGTGCCCAAATACGCGTTCATGCATGGCGCCTCAGCCCTCAATCAAGCACTGGCTCGCTCAATAAATATGTGAAAAGCGGGAGACGGACGGTGTCTATGTAATGATGTTATCAATTATCATACCTTAACTTAGAGGTATCATCAATAGAGAGATGGAAAAGACGGACAATTAACCCGCGCCCCACTGGGGTCTGCGTATAACAATAACACGCCCTACTGGGGGGGGGGGGGGGCTATTCATGGGGGGGGCTATTCATAGCCCCCTCCTAACTCCGAAACTACTGGGCCGATCGTCAAAATTCAAACGGCGTCTGATAGTCCCGGAAAAACTGTCGAGCGAAACCTAATTTCATTGACCTCGAGGTCACCGATGTCGTCACAGGTCAGGTCAAGGTAAAAATTATTAGCATTTTGGCTTGTTCACGTTTTGGGCTCTGGCCGCCGTCTTACAAGTCAGATCAGGCTCATTTTTGGTTCACACACTCGTGAACAGATGCTCTAGATACCCTGAGGGTACCAAACTTGTACTTTGATTTTCAGGTCATCACAGGTCACGAAAATATTATATCATGCGTCGGTCACGTGACACATGTTTTATGGTCCATTTAGGCCAAAGATTTCGAATTTGAACTCGTCTGTGTCATTCGAGGTCATTTTGAGTCGAATTTAGCTCAGGTCAGGTGACTTTCAAGTCAAAAAAGGTCAAATTTTGAAGTTATGATTTTTCAACAGAAAAGGTGTCTATTGGATGCAGTTTGAGCTCAGAAACACGATGGTGCTAGTTATATTGGCGTACGATGTCAAATACGTGGTGAAAAAATTAGTTGAAAAATTCATTATTGTTATTTTTTGCAATAATGCGTATAACTTGGCCATTTTTGAAGATATTTAGCTAAAACTTGCTAGAGTTAGTCATAATAACGCTTTCTATCACATATATTCCGGTTTTTTTGAAAAATTAAAAACTTTTTGAAAAAAAATGTAAAAATGTAAATTTTGAATTTTATTATAATTTTTTTTCGAAATTTTCAAAATTTCGAAAATCCGAGATAGCAGTTTGATAGCGCAGTCTATTCTGAGTCCTCTCATGCAAAGAAATTGGATCTAGCTTAAAAACTGAGCCCTTGGGAGCGATTGCCATGGTTCAATGTTTTGCGTCGAAATCGGCCGAACATGACGTCACTCTGACGTCATTTCCGGCCGACCTATGGTAGCTACGAAGCTCAAATTTTGACACAAGGTGTCAAATTGATGTAGCCGAAGGTACTGAAAGTTTGGCGTCGATACGTCAAGCGGTTTGGAAGTTATTGCAGAAAAACGGGAGGGGGAGGGGCTATAAATAGCCCCCCCCCCCCAGTGGGGCGCGGGTTAAGAAATGGAAAAGATGAACTACATAAAGATTGAAAACACGGACTAAATAGAGATGGAAAAGACGGATTACACAGACAATATAGAGATGGAAAAGGCAAGCTACATATAGAGATGGAAGGAAGTCTGGCGTCATGTGTCGTGTCGTGTCAAAAGCAAGCGGTTCCCAAAGCAAAGCAACACAGAACAAACGATAATTGGGAACCAGGATGCCAAAGCACACTGTGAACATTAATGCAAGCACTTAGCACATAAGTACAACAAAGTCATAAAGCTAGAGGCTAGAGAGCTCAATATATGGGAGCATTTGATCATGACTGCATAGTTTTCATCGCAATGAAGCATACAGACTGATGATTTGTGAGACAGGTGAACCAGTAATACATAGGTAGGTATATCACCTGAAAAGACAGGTGACGTATAGGAGCTAAATGGGAACTGTCTTAAGTCATTGCCCAGATTGCAAACCATACTTCCCTATTTGAATAAATGATGCAATGCACTTTGCAACCATACCAATATAAAAGTAGCACACAATATTGTGTGCTACCTTTATATTGTGTTTTATATTGTGCAAGTCTTAGTAAACATGCTAAGCACTTGACTCTAAAGACAAACTCATCCCGACCTCTACAGACGAGCACTGAACGCCTTGTTGTCGCTTACCTTCTGATGAGGATAACGATCGTCGTGACGACAGCAGCCAGGAACACGAACCCGCCGAAGACGCTCAGCGCGATGATCCCGCCTGAAAGAAGCGAATTCAGGTTAACACTCGATATGCCCTACACAAACACAGGCGAATCCAGGGGGCATTTGTCACAAATGCTCCTCCACCAACAGCGCCCGAAATCGACGAAAATTTGCATTCTTTCGAAAATAAGACGATAAACTAAACAACTTTAAAACGATTTTTTTTAAACGGCACAACAGTGCTAAGAAATCGACATCCGTTGAGTTTTTGGAGTTTGGAGAAACTTTTTTGGGGATATGCCCCCCCCCCGCAGCGTCCAAGACCCCCTTTCTAGATCCGCCAGTGCACACAAGCGCAACAAAGAGTGAGTTTAAGGTTAACATGTGCGCTGCTGAGTACTGAAGCAAGGCGAAATATTCCCGTACCTGTGTTTCTGACATTTCAGTAAGCATTGTGCAAAAAAAAACAATGGGCATTTGATTCTTTGGGGAGATTTAATGAATATTGAGTATCCATGACAGATTGGCTAATGATGTAAATACGACGATTTCATATTTACCAGCAGCTGCCAATGCCTACCACTCTTCTCCCGCCTTTAGTATATAATAATGCAACGTGTTCATAGATGGCGCTAGTGGTTTACTCCTGATGGTAGACTGTGCCGGAATGCTGAACGCAAGAATCGCGTCTCTTGGCAGACGAAATTGGAAAGCTGCCGAGGCGGCTGCCACATATATTGTTGAGGTGCGATGTAAACCGTTGAATAGCCACGGTATTATCTTGGAGTTCAGCTCCGATATTAATGTCAAATGTGACAATGTTTCGGAGTGACAACCACGGTCCATGGCAGTATTACCCAATTTTCATTTTTGCTGAGGAGCTCTGGCCTGCTCCACCCCTCTTTGCCCTGTTATTTTTTTTTTTGGATGGATGATCCCTGCTAACCAGCAGTTTTGACTGTTGGACAATGGACATTGGTGAGCCATCTGATTGGCTTTAGAAATTCAACAGAGCATCTACCGGGTGGCCCAGAAAAAAAACGTTCCCAACTTTAAATCAATATTTCTCAGAAAGTGGTAAAGATACAACATTGAATCTTCGAAAAGTCAATGCGGCACACATTTTGAGTAAATGGTGTGATTTTCATGGTGTTCGGTAAACTAATTTTTAAACGGTTCGTGTTTCAAGCATGCCATGTAAAAAATACTTTTTTGCTCCGATGTTTACTAAATAATGTGAGTGAACGGGTCACTTTCACCCCGCGGCACCGCGGCCTAGAGCCATGACTTCTACTGGCAGCTAGTCTCATTGATGGTTCGGGTCTCAGGATGACACATTCCCTCAGGCAACGACGATGGCTGGCTCTGTGACAGCGGCATCGGAAGAAGTTTCCAGTTTTCTAACCATCTTGTGGCTCAAATGCTTTCCTGGCTGACATTCCTGGGAAAAGGTAGCTTTTTAACCAGTTTTTTCTGTTATCTGCTGGCAATGTTGTTTTTTCATAGACTTTTCTGTGGTTTTCTGGCACAGGAACCAGTCTGCTTTGGTTTGTCTTCCTTATCCGGTCGTTTTATTGTTTGATCTACTGAAAGGAGGGTAATCAGCAGTAATCCATGCACCGTGCCACTCCTGCTCGAAACATGATTTGGTGTTGACACAAATGGCATCCATGAGCACCATTTTGGCTTAGTATTTGAATATTTGGCACATAAGTGAGACAAAAATATTTTAAATAAGAACATACGTGTTGGTTTCATCCACGTGCTCTATTTTTTATTCTTTTTTTATGACATGGGACGTCTAACCCAATCATCACAATCGTTTGACATCGGCAAAAAAAGCAAAAACGTCTTGCTTAATTCAACTCAAGATTACCAGCTTGAAAATGATGGTATAGTGTTATTATTTGGCATACCAATGCGCAAAGAAATGACGCAAACTTGATGAAAATTTTGGCTCGTTATTTGCACTCGAATTTGATATATAGGCCTTTAAAGTTCGGAACGTTTTTTCTGGGCCACCCGGTATATAACACAGAAAGTTCCAAACAAGCGTTGGATCCTATTTATGTCATCGGTTTGGCAAAGCATCTAATCAGCTCTGTGCAAGAAACAAAGTACCCACTAATATTATCAAGAAAAAAATCCACTCTATTTGGGGAGGTTGACCTCACATTTGCACAACTTCATTGATATTGATGGTAAGGCTACGATAAAAAGCAACTGTTTTGTAGTGAGTTGTTCAGAAATAATGTCAACCGAATTTATAATCACGTCGGATCACATCAGATTGAGGGAACATAGATCAATGATAAAACACAAAGAACGAACATAAAATTGTGTGTTTCATTCAAATCAACAGTACATATGCATACATAAATGTTATTCGCTTACACATAGGCCCTAAAACACCTACTTTGCGACAGGAATTCATGAAAAAGCAACAAGTCTCATTGTGTACCTACTTCGTGACCCAACGATGACAATATTGACAACATGACAAAGCACGCCACTTAAACGTGTCAAATACAGTTAGTTAATGAATTAAGCAAATTACCTCCAGTCACACTTTCCCTTAACCTGTCCTTATTCTCAACCATGTCCAGTTTGGGTGTCCTGTCTAGCACACCCATGATCTGTCTGGTCACTCACCTATGTAGATGCAGTTTGGGTCCAGTGGAGCGCGCGCCTATTTTGGGTCCAGTATGGTAGGTACTCGCCCAATTTGAGTCCGATGTGGTACTCACCCTGTCAGGGTCCGATGGAATAGAGGTACTCACCCATGTGCAGTTTGGGTCCGGTGGAGCGCTCGCCCAGCGTGTTGTCCGGCTCGCTGACGCCCGGCGCGTTCTGCTGAATGTTGACCGTGTCGGGGATCTCGTTCTCTTCGGGCCGGCCGAAGCTGATCACTCCGGGCGCGGCGGCCACGGCCACAGTGTCGCCGGCTGCAGGGGACGCGGGCTCAGCTTGGGAGGGCGACTCGGTGGGGGAGAACACGACCACCGGCCGCTGAGGGGGCCGCAGGGTGGCCGAGGGCACAGGAGCTCGGGGAGAAGTGGCTCCGGCGGAGGGAGCGCCGCTGAGGGCTGGAGGAGGAGTGGTGCTGGTGGGGATCTCTGTGGTGCTGGTGTGGATCTCTGTGGTGCTGTGGAACGGAGTGGTAGCTGTGAGTGGTTCATCTGGTGTAGTTTTAGTGTGTAAGATTCTTTCAGTGGGTACCTCCTGTGAGCTAGTGGTGATCTCTTCAGTCCCCGCTGTTGAAGGAGGGACTGTGTCGGCAGAGACGGACTCGGACTGATCGGGCCTCGGTTTGAGCACCACCACCAGTTTCGGCTGGCTGGAGCTCGAGATCCTCCTCACAGGCAGCGTTGGGCGATACTTCCTCCTGCGCAGCGTGTCCCCAAACGGCCGTCTGCCCGAGGTCCGTCTGTCTCCAAGCTCCGGAACATCAGACTCGTCAGCCTCAGCGGCGGGCATCGGAGTGGTGACATATTTGCTCTCAAAGGTCACGGTCGGTCCTCCGTCCGGACTCAAACTGACCGTCACCCGCCGGGTGGTAGATCCCTCTGTGGTCTGGGTGGGCGCCGCCGTCTGCTCTTCTGTCGACCCCGCAGTGGGCTCCGCAGGGGTCACTGAACGCGTGTCCTCTGCCGTTGTCTCCACAAAGGTCACCGTCTCGGAGTCAGCGCCGTTGACGACCGCCGGACGGCTGAGTTCTGGCGCCGGTCTTCGGGGGAAGGTGAAAGTGCTGCCCGAGGGACGCGGACGGGGCCTCCGGCGGCGCGTCTGACCCAGACTGAAAGCCAGGCTCGGCCGCGCGGGGGAGGAGGACGCTGGAGTGGCTGGCGTCTCGCTGACCTCAGGCTCTGCCGGAGGAGTGGTGATATCGGGCTCGGCGGCTGGCAGCTGCGGACGGAGGCGGCTGGGCCTACCCGGCCGCAGCGGAGAGTCCGGCCGCCGGTCCGGGCGGAAAACCGAGTCCGTCCTCCGCCGGAGTCCGCCCCGGAGTCGGTTCCGGATCAGACTCAGTCGCCGGGAGGGAGCCGACTCGTCCTGATTCGACTCCTCCTCGGTTGTGGAGGTGAACTCCTCCGTGGTCGCCTTCTTAGGCTGTTCAGTAAGCTGTTCTGTGGGTGTTCTCGTAGTTGTGAAAATGGGACGCTCAGTAGTTCTTTCTCTGACCCTCACAATAGCTCTGTTAGTCTCACTCTGCACAGAGGACTTTGTGCGACGCTCCGATGACTCGTCAGCTGTTACCTCCTCTGTGGGCCATACAATGGGTCTATAAGTGGTAGGCTCGCCACCCTCCTCCTCCGCGGGAGTGGTGGACCTCTGTCTAAAAATGAAGACCTTGCGCCGCTTCTCTCCGTTGACGTCTTTAACCACCACCCTGTCTCCGGGCAGTACCGTATACGGCGGCAATGTCGTCGGCACTTCAGTCAGCGCCGTCGGACCGTCCGTCTCGTATGTCGCGTCTGCGTATGTCGTGTCTGCGTATGTCGTGTCAGCGTATGTCGTGTCGTCGTAGAATGGGTTTCGGTAGTCGGCGGGGCTGGTCGGGCGGGGTCGCCGGAGACCGGGGAGGGGACGGAGGCCGGGACGAGATAGGCGCCTCCGACCGGGGGCTGATGGTCGGACGTACTCGTTGGCGGTGTTAGAGGCGGCCAGAGCCAGGGGATCTTCCACGTACAGGTCGTCTAGTGTCAGACTGGGGTCGGTAGGAGTGGAGAGGTCAGGGACGGTGTGGAAGGACAGGTCAGAGGCCTGTCCAGTCTCGGTGGGGAAGCTCAGGTCAGAGGTGGGGGAGGACAGGCCGGGCTCGGTGGGAAGTAGTCCGGAGGTGGGGGAGGGCAGGCCAGGCTCGGTGGGAAGCAGTCCGGAGGTGGGGGTAGCAGTCGCTACTGTCCGTGCACTGTCCGTGGTCGGTAGAACTGTCTCTGAAAGTCGACAGAAACCGGCATAGTCTGAGACAAGGTCGTGCGGAAGAGCGTCACCGTTCGAAAGCTAGAACGACAGAAGAAAGCAAGAACTGCGTACGTCACCAACTCTCAGACACAGCTTAACTACGTGTGTGCGACCACATTTAATGATGTAAAAAGCATCCAGGCTAAAAAAGCACTGCAAAAGAAACGTTGATGCTAAACTGCGATGTCCAAAAAGACGCCCAACGTTCAACACAGCACACACAAAAAGAACTAAACATGATACTCAGTCACAAACGAGGATGTAGCATCAGCCATGCAATTCACATAAAACAGCAAAATACAAGACAAGCGCATAAGTCAAGCTGTTTACATCAAACGCACTACTTCCACAATATATACAAAATTTAACATAATGTGCATGTAAGGTAAAGACATAAGAAAAGGGAAAAGACAGTAAAGAAGATAAGAGAAAAGATATTGAAAAGTAAGAAGATACAGAAGCAGAAGTCGAGAAGAGATTTAAAATGTTCCACGACGTACACTGGATGAAAATCTCATCCAGCGCATTCAGAAGAGAATATACGAGTAAATGGTGCATGTGCCATGTAGCATGTAGAAGAGCTAAGAGATGATCTACCAACAAGCTATGTTCAACGTCATGTCACTTTGTCCATTTTTGCATATTTACAGGGATATATAGGTACCTAGAATGTAGTCAATGAAATTTGATGGAACAGCCGCTGGGTATAAGATTTGAACCCAGAAACAGGAAAGGGTGTGACGATTTAATGATTTTAAGTGCATTGATGGTCTTAGGTCTTTGTAAGTCTCATTCAGATGGTTGCTGGAACCTTTTCAGAGATGCTCATTTCCGTCTAGCGGAGAGAAATGCCGATTTCGTTGATGATATTGGGCTGATGAATTTGACGGTTGCCGGTGATTGGAGTCAGCTGGCCTCTGTTTGTGTGGCGAGTAGCGATTCGGTAGCTTATCATTTCTTTTGTTAAGGGAATGGTGAATTGGTCCGTGGTCACTTCTTGTGTGAAGGGAACAGTGATTCGGTCCGTGCTCGCTGCTGTGTGAAGGGAGTAGTAATTTAATGCGTGCTGCTGTAAAGTTGGCTGCTGTTTGTGCCACAGATTGCGAATGTTTTTCATATGGATACAGTTGCAGCTCAGTTATGGCTTCGAAAGGATTGAGGAGCTAGGCACTGGACATTTATTCCTGCCTATAGGCATTTGCCAACCACTTCAGGAGGCCTATGTATGGCACAAACTCGAAGGCTGCGTTATGCATCAATTAAAAGCTTTCTAAGTGAGTCTCAAATCAAAATATCTTTTTTAATGTTAAGCATACAAATATTCACAAGCATATTTGCATATCGCACAAAAATGGTTGCTTTTGGATTTGGGTGACCCCTTATAAAACAGAGTGCGTCAGAGCCGTGCACTATCAGTCCCGCTGATCGCCACCAGACGGCGGTGCAGTCTCACCTCGGCACACGGGCGGCTCCTGGTTGTAGGTGCCGTCTCGCATACAGCGCAGTGTGCTCGGTCCCGTCAGCGTGAACCGGTCATCCAGACAGTAGTACTCGACCAGCGTGCCCACGATAGTCGAGTTGGTCGACACGCGGAACCCGCCGTTCAGAATTGCAGGCGGCTCCTTACAGAACACGGCTGGAAAAGGAAATGAAAAACGCTGGCATTTATTTCAGTCGTCAAGAACTACCGATCCCACCAGCGAAAGAATGCTATTTAGTACGGTACTGTGAGTTGATTTTTTAGTAAAAGTGATTGGCATGCATACGGACCTTAAAATATTCCTGATGTTTATCACTTATGGAGCCTCTGGGTATATGTAAGACTAGTCACAGCCTTCTGGCAAATGGGTGAGGCCTGGCTGTTGCAGTCTCCCCGCCGCTCCCGGCTCGGTTACTCACGCTCGCAGCGGGGCGGCGGGCCGCTCCAGCGCTCATCCACGTCGCAGATGAGCTCGTTGCGTCCGACCATGACGAAGTCCTGGTCACACTCGTACACGACCATGGAGAGGTAGCCGCGCGTGCCATTCACCAGGCTGTAGCGGCCGTGTCGGATCTCGGCCGGCATTCCGCACTGCAGGTCTGTGGGCGTCAGGTCAGGTCAGAGCAGGGGTCTCAGCCGCGGTCACGCTGATGATCTCGACGGTAGGTCACAGCCCAGGTCACATGACAGGTCATGACGCCAGGGTTCACAGGAAAAGCTACGACTCATGTCGCGAACAGGTCCACAGGATAAGTCAAAACACATGTCATATGACAGGTCAGACCACGCACGTGCCTGCAGTCCTATGTATGAACAGGTCAGATGACAGGTTATAGCGCAGGTCACAGCTCCAGTCACTGACTTTTGCAGGTGGGCGGGTAGGCGCTGTAGAAGCCCGTCTCCAGGCACTGGCGCTCCTCGGGGCCGGACAGCAGGTGTCCGTCCTCACACCGGTACGAGATCGTGCTGCCCACGTTAAAGTCGGGCGCGATCAGGGTCGAGTTGGGCGGCTGCTCCGGCTTGCCACACGTCAGAGGCTCTGCAAAACGGAGAGAAAGTTGACATTTAATCAAACTAGCTATGTTGCCTCGTTCTACGGATGTTGGATAGCTACACTTTTGCACCAAGGAGCAATCGCAATAATTGCAGTGTTGGTGTTTTACTATGCTTCCGCATTATTGTGCCCATTTTTCCTCATTGTTTCCGGCCGTTCAAATCGTTTGATGCAAGCCCGCGACACCGCTGTCTTGCCCTCCCGGCCGACTCACGGTGCTGGCAGATGAAGTTGAGCCGCATGTCGCAGTTGGTGTCTGACCAGAGCCAGTCCTTTGTACCATCAAACCGGGCACAGTTCTCCTGACCCCCGGGCAGACTCCAGAAGCTGACGCCGAGGTCCTGTCCGGTGATCCACTTCCAGTTGGCCGGATTCTGCGGGTCCCGGACGGCGCCCATCCAGTACTGGCCGTTCGGGTCCTCCCTGAGGAGCGCCAGGGGCGAAGAGGTCAGAAAGGCCGGCAGGGGTCATCAGAGGTCCGCAGGGGTTGGCATGGGGCCGTTGTCAGCATTGACATGAAGTCGAGAAAAGACGAACGCTAAACCTTCCAGCATTAACTTTTCAAGTACGTTTAAACATGTATGTAGATGTTTATCTATAGAAATTCTTTCCATGATTTATATATATCATCTTCCATTTTCTCTCTCAGCTCCTGTTATCTTTCTCAACATTTTCCTTCTCCCACGCGTGTCGTCTCCCACCCCACTCGACTCATATCACCATCAGAGCTTCCAGTCCGCCTGTGTCTCCTGTCTTCATAGACCCCCGCCCTCAGTGTCGCTACCTAATCCTCCGCCTACCTGTGCCGCCTCCAGAGCTCCCAGCTGAGGAATCCCTGCAGCGCCGGGTTTGTCTCGTCGATCAGGGTCCCGCCGCGGCTCTGACAGAATTCCTGTGCCTCGGAGAACCTCTGCGGCTGCTGGTTGTAGAAGGTGTAGCACTTGCCGTTGTAGGTGGCCGTGCTGCCCGGCGGCTGATCACGGAACTGGGGACACCGCTCGATTGGCAGGGCCTGGAAACGGGAGGTGGCGAGCAGGGAGGGAGAGTTGTTAGATGCTACGAATCACGGGGAGCGTCTGTCAAATATCTAAATTTATTGTTATAGAGACGGCAGGTTTTGGCTGGTGTTACCGTGAACTGCAATTATTTTATTGTTATTCGGAACTGTTTTTTGGACTGGCTCGAAAGTGTAAAAATACCCTGTGTTTTTATTGTGCAGGTTTTTATTGTGTTTTCCCCTTAACATTTTCTTTTTTATTGAACTCCGGCTTAGCCTTGCTTCTTATCCAAACCCATTCATTTCGCGCGTAACCATTTGTATTTCCGGGTCTTACCTGATCGGTGTAGACAAAGGCCTCGCATATGGAGAGCATCTGGCCCGGCGGTCCCTCGAGGTGGACCGATATGAACGCGCCCGGCATCGGAGGGTTGCACGGCAGGAACAGCGGCCGACCCTCCTCCAGAAATCCTGAAACACCAGGCGTGCTCATCAGAGTCTTATATATTGATTCATCTCCAAATAGCAAACAGCAAGCAGAAAGCAGTGAATTTCATGCATATTTTCGAAACAATGATTGATTTCGTAAGCAGCAAGTCAATATTTTTTTTTAGGGAACAGGATGAGTTGTGTGGTCTGCATATGAAGAGACCGCCAAAGCAGTGAAGAAACTCCATGCAATCTTCAGGACGACGCATATTTAATTAACTTAAACTCAAGAAGTATGCCCAACCTGTATTTCGGTAGCCGCCAAACACGCGTCTACAGCGTCCACGTTCTCTTGCAGCTGCTATCTTATCACCACTGTCCTCCTCTGTTCGTCTTATCTCTCCCGAGCAGTCACTCACCAGTGAATCGGTTGCAGATCGGGTTGATTTTCAGGTCCGGTCGGTTGTTGCCCACTCGGACCACTACTGTCGCAGGCACGTTGTTTTCTGAAACAAAGAATCCTGTCAAACTGGGGTACGGATAGCTAGACAATCCGTGCAGTAAGAAGATTTGTCTGCATTTGATTGATCGGTACGACAAGAGGCGTAATAAATCGTCTCAACACAAGCTTGTCTTTACTTCAGATGATAATTGACCGTCAGTAGTCTGGCCTACATTTAGGTCATATAAAGTCGTTAGGATTTTTTACAACTGTCCTCAAAATCATCGGCCCTTTTTGGTCCATCCACACAACAGTAACTTTGTGAGAAGTGTCGTAAACGCGACGGACAGCGGACTGGGACAGGAGGGCACACCGCTAGCTCGCGTTATTTAACGCCTCAGGAATCCTTGGATACGGCTGACGAGCCGCCGACCGTCTCAGACTGGTCTGTGAGAGCTCGGGACGACCTCAGGGGGATGGGTGGAGCGCTGGACCGGTCAGGGATGGCAGAGGGTCACGGACCGTCTCAGATCAGTCTGTGAGAGCCCGGGACGACCCCATCGGTGGACGGGTCGAGCATTGGACCGGTCAGCGATGGTAGTAGAGGGTCACGGACCATCTCAACTCAAATCGGTCTATGAGAGCCCGAGACGACCCCAGGGGATGGTTTGAGCACTGGACCGATCAACGATAGCAAAGCTAGGGGGGGGGGGGGAGAAGGCAGAGGTTAACTCGGTCAAAGAACCTTCACTATCAACAGGCGTGACTGATAGTAAATGTTTTCACCGTCACGGAGAGAGAAGTGATTGTTATCAGCGGCTTGGTTTGGACAGCGCGGCTAGGGATAACAGCTGATTCCTGCCGAGCTGACAAGTTTCACGCTATATGTTGTACTATTTATTTGATTGGCAAAAGCGATACAACTTGTCTATCTCCTAGAGATACACTGTGCCCTAGAGGACTTGGGAAAACGAAAGTGTTGTTGAAGCATCGGGAGAAACGCCCATGGACATTGCACACTGCACGTTGGTGGCGATAGACGGACGTGCATGGTATCAACGGAATTTGGGTTGTACAAGTTTTATTAGGTAGAAAACGCGACAAAGTTTTATCTACATTTTCCTGCAATTGTTACCACAAAGGCATGTTTTATCCAGTTCTGCAGATAGGAACAACTTTTTTACGTCGCCCCTCCGATCCTAAAGGGTCCTCAGATCCGGAAACTTTTTCTCATCCCTCAATCACTCAGTTCCCAAGTTAGTGATCGGTCCCACTTCATCTCTCAGTCCCTAACCCGTCTCCAAATCGGGTCTAGTCTTGTCTCCAACTTCAAGTATTGTCCCCCACCCCCAGTCCCGTCACTCAGTCCCCTGTCCCCGATTGGTTGTCTTGTCCCTCAGTCACTCAGTCTCCACCCTTTCCCATCCTGTCTCTCAGTCTCTCAGTCCCAGTCCTCAGTCCCGTCACTCACCGCAGCAGGACCTGCCGAAGTCGAGCCGCACCAGCTGCACCATGTAGGGCTCCAGCAGGTTGACGTACCACAGCGGCGACGTCTCCTGCTCCGTCAGCGTGCACGTCTTGGGGTTGAAGAAGCCGCTGGTGCTGCCGTCCACGGCCTTCTGTGGGATGCCGCCCTGCGCCGTCGACGACTGCATCGGCGCTTTCCCTGCTGCCACGTTAATCACTGCAAAGGAAAGATTGAAAATTAGTTAGTGGGATGCAGAAACTTGATTATCAAATGACAGGTGTGGTATATATGTAAGTGCATGTAAGGCCTAAACTTTTGAATTCTTGCGTTTTACCCCTTTCAAAATGAATTCAAAAGTTTAGACCTTACATGCACGTATAGCACATGCAGAAACTTGTCTTGCGAACAAACAACATGCAGCTGAATGTCCTTTTGCTTCTTACGTTATCGCGTGTCAATATAAAATGATTATAAACACAGTCCATTGATAACTGGCAGTTTAATTAGTTCATATCTGATAAGAAACCCTGAGCAACCGTTTTTACACAAGGCTGCTCCGACCGCACGGTGGTTAATAACCCAGCGCATTGTTGTGCAACAAATGCGTGTCATTGTGCAACTGCAACTGTAATGGCCATCTCGCCACATCGTTAGTCGCACCACTCGCACGATGTGAGGTCTGTGATGCCAGTGACGTGAGCGACTCAGGTGTCGCGCTGATATTACACGGATGGTGCTCAGCTGGGCCACGCCGTTACACGGAGGCTGCAAATCACTGCACGGGCTCAGCACGGAACACGGTGGGGATAGTGACGAGACGCGTCTCGTGGTGGGATCGGAGATGGGGGAACTTCGTGAGTGGGAGACACTTGGAAGGATGCATTCGCAACGGTATTGGCAACAGAAACTCGCAGGGTGAAACATCATTAAGAAATATTTATTGGTTTTACTAGCTACTTCGCAGATCTATGAAGTTCCATTAGCTCACAGCCCACATATCATGTGTTACTATCCACGCATGCAGTCAGTGCGGATACCGGAAGTAATTTACTTCCGGACAGCTGACGCGGTGTGTGTGTGTGCGCGCCGGTTTTGTCGCCGGACCGAGCCGCGGTGGTCGCACCACCGCCGACCACCGCGCCGCTGCGGCCGAGGGACATTCACCCTGACGCCCACAGCGGGCCGCGAGTGTTTGTCGGGTAGTGGTGTGTGACTGCCAACCTTATCGGCAATATTTGGCGCTCAGACCAGCGGCAACAGCACGCATTTTCCACTCGATAGCTCACTGAACGGTGTCGTGAGAATTCAGCACCGTCAGAATCCAAATCCATTCACATGAGAACTCGACATTTTTGCTGACAGAGGCAGCAGGTTTGAGATGAGGTATGGAAGTGAAAGACGCTGGAGCATGTCCTGATCTTTCAACAGATCAGGTCGAGTCAGTTGTAACAGGTCAATGACCGTCCATATCAGTGTTCTTAAATACACCGAATCAGTTTCTCACAAACTAAGAGCACGCAAAATCTCACGAACGCACCTCGCGACTCGCGAGTCGTGACTGGTTTCGGGGATGAAGACATGGAACTTCAAGTATGGTATTTCAAAGCTGTTCCAGTTTTGGTAAAGCTCGAAGCACGCACTAACCTGTGTACCGTCACCGTGTCCCTAACGACCTTCACATGCTCATCCTCACTTCACAACGTCTATCAGCAACATGTAAGGCACGTCGACCTCGTCTTGCACGATGTTTGCCTGTCACCGGTCCCCACTATGACGTAAGAAGCCGTCCCCGCCGCCTGCGACCCACTCTCACATGCGGAACTGCTCGGGGCTGAGCCTAATCGCCATTGTACGCCCACCCACACACTCTCAGTGTATGTAGTGATTAGTCGCACTGTAAGCCCCCCTCCCAAACACACACTCCTTCTATGTCTGACCCCGTTCCACGCCAGAGGAGAGAGAAACAGAAGCGAGAATTGGAACAAGCTCATTAGCGACAAGCCATTTTAAGAAACCGGCATCACCCATCTAAACCGATCCATCTCATCTAAAGGCTCCCGTTCGGTCGCGTGGCGGGCGGTAATAAGCACAGCGCGGTGGCCGCCCGGGGCCCGCCGCTGGAGTCGGCTCGGCAGATGTGCGAGTGAGCGTCGGCCACCAACGGTAGGATCTCCTTAGAGCCGGTGGGTCGAACGGTGCCTGGTGATGAATGGACCGGCCACCGCGGGAGCCCACCGGCCGCCGGCCGCCGGCGGTGTCCGCGTGACGTATCCGTGACGCTGGCGCGTGTCGTGACGCGCCGTGCCATATGGCGACGCCGTGTGACGGCCAGGACCGGGTGACGCCTGCCGGCTGCCTTCCGTCGATGGATGTCTGAGTGACGCCTGCCTGCTGCCACCGGTGTGCCGTCCGACGGATGGGGCTGTTGCTGTCTGGCAGATGGGGTTTCGACTGACTTTCGGACTGCAGTTTACTGCAGTTTTTGTTGGGGGTGGGGACAGAACTTGTTTTTGAGCCAAATGCTATTTTTATCACTTAAAATGAACAATAAAACAGCTGTGTAATTTTGCACGGCGTCGCATATGCCTCACTTCTCCGATTTCGTCTCGCCGTCACCTACCGTTCTGCATTGTAAGTGCAGAATCCGCCGAGGTTGTCACAACATCTACAGGCATGTCATTTTCCGCCAGCTTATAAATATGCGTGAAACGCGGCGACAAAGTGCTCACACCGGCGTGTCCAGGTTTGTGTTGGTTAGCGTGCGGGGGCTGTATGCGCGAGTGCTCGTGTGTATGAGAGAGGGCCTGTGTGGGACAGCAGGGGTCAGGTGCGTGTGACTATGACACGCTCTGTCGTTGCAGGTGTGTGAGTTTGGTCACAATCGTATACCTACCACCTTTGAAGGCTGAGAATCACATTCAGTGTGGAAGGAACGGCGTTTGGGCCTCTCGTCACGGGTCGCTAGCCTCCAATGACGGACGGGATAGGGAGGAGCAGTGATCGGTCAGAGCTACGACAGCGACAGAGCGACCAACCTCTTGATGACGTTCAAATCGATCTGACCTCTTCCAAGAGGTACGGCTCTCGCGAGATTAAGCGGTAGGTTTTGCACCTTTACATTTCCGGTTATATCTCAGATACTAATCGATCTACGATGAAGTCATTTTACACGATCATGGCCGGCTTTTCCCCCAACAAGTCGATTGCATCTTCAACACTTAAAAGCTCAAGACGACGAAGATATAGCCTGAAGTACACTGAATTTTCTAGGTGCAAAACCTCCCGCTAAAACCCGCGAGACCTGTACCCCGGAGTACCCCAAGGGGTATTCCGAACCTACATAACTCTTAGCCAGAGCTCTGTAGGCTGTTAAAGTGTTAAGCGGTCATATATTCCATACCTAAGTCATCCAGTAATTTAGCATATTCAATATTCAAACTAAGCTTGTCTGAAATTATTTGCAACAATAGGGTCACCTCTGATCTTAATACTGACATATGCTGATTATTCTTCTTCAGTTCAGTTCGGTACATCTGAGCGGGTCAGCCTGGCTGCTGGTCAGTTTAGTGTTCTGAGCTGACCTCAGCGGGTCAGCCTGGCCAGTGGCCGCCGATCAGCTGAGTGTTCTGACCTCACCTCCGCGCGGTCCGCTGACCCTCCTACAGTTTGCACGACTGGATTCGACAGTCGCTGGGCACGAAACGTGACACTGGTCTGCAAATATCAGTACCGGATAATCCAGTGGTATGGAAGCAGCAAAGCTAAACAAAGCGCCGCTTCAGTGAGTGACATATCAGGTAATGGATCCCTCTGGGGGCGGGCTGTTACTGACGCGGAGAACTGATGGGATGTCAACATTCGTTCCAGACACATTTAATCGCACAACAGGAAAGATAAGTAGGCTGATTATGCTTTAGCTGTATTGTAGGGATTAAAGACCGTATCTAATTAGTTATGGGTCAGCAGCTGGTGACAAAATGTTGATAATAAAGTATATCAAACTTGGGTTCAATGTCGTAACATTTTCAAGACACTGAAAACAAACCTTCGAATACATATTCTTGTTTTCAGACGAATTTAAACAATATAAATATTGTTGATATTCGTCTGAATATAAACAATATTTATATTCAGACGAATATAAATATTGCACCTTATATTTTCTTCTGGTATTTTTCAACTTCATCGACCATTCTAGCATGTCGACCGGTCCTATTCTAGACCGGCTGGACGGCGACCACCCCGTTGACGCAGTTCCGGACCCAGATCTGATCCGGGCCCGGAGTTCTCCCTTACTGGACTGATCTTGGCTTATAGGTCTCACAGCCTGAGTCCGGTCCGGGTCCGGAGTTCTCCCAGTCCGGGTCCGTATAGTTCTCCCAGTCCGGGTCCGAAGTTCTCTCAATCTGGCGATACAGGCCCATCTGACGCTGCGGCCGCCGCCTCCCCGCCGCCTCCCCGGCGCCTCCCCGCCGCCTCCCCGCGCCGCTCGGCGAGCCAGACGGCCGCTGATCCGTGACCGGATCTAACAGTCGGGCAGCGCCGCGCCCGCCGCCTGCGCCGATACATTAACATGCCCGCATGGCGGCCGGGCGACCCACTAAACACGACGGCAGGTGGTAGGACTGCTGGATACGACCAAAGTGGGCTGTAGCGGACCCGACGGCGCGTGGCTCAGTTCGCACTGTCATGCAGTGCAGTGTATAATGTGTAGAGCAGGGAGTGATAACAGGGGATCATGCCCGTATGTTGAGTACCCGGCACCCCACTGGTGACGTAGCGGAGTGGACGGGATCGGGGTCCGGGTTCTTGGTACGCCGGGTCGCGGAGCGGCCACTCGTGTCCCCTGGCCCGGTGGCCGACTGGCCCGGTCGTGGCTGGAGACCGACCGGGTCGGCGGCGGCGACGTGGCGGCGAGTCGGGGCCGTGACAGGAGGGTCAGAAAGACTGAGCACGCCACACTGAGTCGATACGCTCCGCCGTAGACCGACCTGCGCGGGTGCCACCGCGCACTAATAAGCTCACTGATTGCCACTGCATCAACTGCATCAACACAAATACAGGGCGCCTTGAATGCCGCGTACTTCAGCAAAAGCATGGACCGGAACGCCGCTAGGTCGGGTCAAGGGCGGCCGCGTATCTATCAAAGTCATCATTGAAACAACGTGGCCACCTGACCGGCCGCTGTGGTCGGAAACTCTCACTTGGACCCACTT